CCATTCCCTTCCTGGACGGCGACCCTCGCCTTCATACGAGGAGCGGCTTCATCAGCGCCGTCGTCCTCAGATCACGGCAGACCCCCCGGTCTCAACGTGATCCTTCATCTCAAGACCGGCCTCCTCAGCGTCGAGCGTCTTGAGCTTGCGAGCGGGCTCGCCATTCCCTTCCTGGATGACGACCCTCGCCTTCATACGAGGAGCGGCTTCATCGGCGCCGTCGTCCTCAGATCACGGCAGACCCCCCGGTCTCAACGTGATCCTTCATCTCAAGATCGGCCTCCTCAGCGCCGAGCGTCTTGAGCTTGCGAGCGGGCTCGCCATTCCCTTCCTGGATGACGACCCTCGCCTTCATATGAGGAGCGGCTTCATCGGCGTCGTCGTCCTCAAATCACGGCAGACCCCTCGGTCTCAACGTGATCCTTCATCTCAAGACCGGCCTCCTCAGCGTCGAGCGTCTTGAGCTAGCGAGCGGGCTCGCCATTCCCTTCCTGGATGGAGACCCTCGCCTTCATACGAGGAGCGGCTTCATTAGCGCTGTCGTCCTCAGATCACGGCAGACCCCCCGGTCTCAACGTGATCCTTCATCTCAAGACCGGCCTCCTCAGCGCCGAGCGTCTTGAGCTTGCGAGCGGGCTCGCTATCCCTTCCTGGATGACGACCCTCGCCTTCATACGAGGAGCGGCTTCATCGGCGGCGGCGTCCTCAGATCACGGCAGACCCACCGGTCTCAACGTGATCCTTCATCTCAAGACCGGCCTCCTCAGCGCCGAGCGTCTTGAGCTAGCGAGCGGGCTCGCCATTCCCTTCCTGGAGGGTCCTTCATATGAGGAGCGGCTTCATCGGCGCCGTCGTCCTCAAATCACGGCAGACCCCCCCGGTCTCAACGTGATCCTTCATCTCAAGACCGGCCTCCTCAGCGCCGGGCGTCTTGAACTAGCGAGCGGGCTCGCCATTCCCTTCCTGGATGGCGACCCTCGCCTTCATACGAGGAGCGGCTTCATCAACGCCGTCGTCCTCAGATCACGGCAGACCCCCCGGTCTCAACGTGATCCTTCGTCTCAACACCGGCCTCCTCAACGCCGAACGTCTTGGGCCAACGAGCGGGCTCGCCATTCCCTTCCTGGATGGCGACCCTCGTCCTCAAAATGAACGGCCCCTCGGCCTTAACGTGATTATCTATCTCAAGGCCGGTATCCTCAGCACCGAGAGCCTTGAGTTTACATGATGAACGGCTTCATCAAATGCCTTCGTCATCATTTATTTGGACCGGCTTCATCAGCACCGTCGTCCTCAAATCATGCCCGACCCCTCGGCCAAGGCGTGATCATCTATCTCAAGACCAGCTTCCTCAGCGCCGAGAGTTTTGAGCCAGCGATCGGGCTCACCATCCCTTCATGGATGGTGACCATCGCCACTACATGACGCACGGCTTCACCAACGCCTCGTCGTCATTTACTTGGATCAGCTTCATCATAGCCGTCATCCTCAAGTCACGCCTGGTCTCTCGGCCTTGGCGTGATCATCTATGTCAAGACCGGTCTTAGCCATTCCTTTATCGGATGGCGACCGTTGCATGGATTGAAGGAACGGCTCCTCATCGCCGTCGTCTTCACATCACGACCAGCCCCTCGGCCATGGTGTGATGCTCTATCTTAAGACCGGTCTTAGCCATTCCTTTACCGGATGGCGACCGTTGCATGGATTTCGGACCGGGCCCCCAGTGCCGTCGTCCTCATATCTCGAGACCGGCTCCCAACGCCGAGGTACTGTTATAGCGACCGGGCTCGCATTTCCCTTCCTGGACAGCGACCGTCGCCTTCATATGACGCATGGATGATTACCATTGTCGTCCTCACATTCAGACAGGCATCCATCGCCTCGTCCTCATATTCGGACCGGCTCATCAGCGTCGTCGTCCTCACCTCCAGGCGGGCATCCCCTCATCAGACGGACACCGCTTCAGCTCCACACCTAGGCCGAAGGGTTCACCCCTTGGAGTTCATTTTGTGGGATCCGGTGTGCTCTTTTTCCCTCATTAGGATTTTTTCCCACAGGGTTTTTCCTAATGAGGTTTTTAACGAGGCATCGCCCCATTGTGGATAAAAAGGTGTCGACCCTCGGCCCCCTATTGAAGACGTGTATTGCTCTACTCCTCTTCACCTCACTACATGAGCCTCGAGGAGTGGGGGACTGGGGGACTACATCGGCCTCCACATACATGAAATCATCCAGAAAGCAACAAAAAGCAAGGACTACCAAGTGGTACCTCCGTCGGCCATGTCTCCATCGGCCAGAAGAAGGTCTGGGGGACTACATCGGCCTCCAGCGTAAAGAAACAAATTCAAAATCCAACGAACACAAGCCCATGACAATGGCACCTCAACGTCCAACAACCATGTGTTCACCCTTCGGCCAGGCCGAAGCGCAAAGCAGGGCACATGTCGCCCTCAAAGCCAAGGACACTCCTCGTCCTCAAGGCCAATGGCACGCATCGTCTTCGGGACTATGACATTCATCATCCATAAGATGGCGGACATTCCTCAACGCGCCACAAATGTCCGCAAGCGTAAGGTCCATCAATTAAAGTAAAAAGCACAAGGGCATGACATCCTTCGTCCACAGATCCAAGGGCGCACAACGTCCTCTGGTCCAGGACCCTCATCGTCCTCAAGATGAAGTACATTCATCGTCCTCAAAATGAAGGACGTTCATCGGCCTCAAAATGAAGGACACTCATCGTCCTCAAAATGAAGGACATTCATCTTCCTCGAAACAAAGGACACTCGTCGTCTTCAAACAAGAGATAACCACAACGGCTTCATCAGACCAAAAGGGAAGTTCAAACCATCAACGACCAAGGGTAGACGCTACCTTCGTCGGCCACTCATGTCAGAACACGCATCGTCCGCAAACAAGTGCACCAAAGGAGTAACAGCCTTCCTCATCCACATCAAGAAACGGGTAATGGCCAAACTCAGAATAGGGCCACCAAACACCATGACAGGGAACGACCAACGTGGTCCCGCATCGGCCAAGAGCATCAAGCACAGAAGTCTACTCTCCTTCACTTCGTCTATATCTCAGCTTAGAGAGTGGGGGACTCCTGATGGAGTATATGGGTCTAGGCCCCAGGACCCACATACTCAGAAGAACAGAAGGTACCACGATCACCGGGTGACCTCGTCGGCCATGCTCTCATCAGCCATGCCCTCATCGGCCAGAAAGAAGGCCACCCAGAATATGATCCAGAAGCCCGGAGAACTGGGTGACCTCGTCGGCCATCCCCTCTTCGGCCATGCCCTCATCGGCCATGCCCTCATCGGCCAGGAAAAGGTCTACTCAGAATATGATCCAGAAGCCCGGAGAACTGGGTGACCTCATCGGCCATGCCCTCATCGGCCATGCCCTCATCGGCCATGAAAAGGTCTACTCAGATATGATCCAGAAGCCCGGAGAACTGGGTGACCTCGTCGGCCATGCCCTCATCGGCCATGCCCTCGTCGGCCACGGAAGTCTCACAGAACCGGATTTTACACTTATTCATTTGTATAGCCCACCAGTGGCTTTGTATTCGGCCCAATAGCGGTCCAGTTGTAGATGGGCCTCCCAAGCCCAAGACTTGGGAGCCCAACCCTAATTTTCTCTATAAATACTCCCCTTGGGAGTAGTTATAGGGGTTACAAATTCATTCTATTGAAGCATATTATTGCACTTCTCTCTCTAGCTCTCACTTCTCTCTAGATATACTCTATCACAAATATGTGTGATCACATCTTAGAGGGTATGGTTCTGAATGGTACAAGTGTAGGACAAAAAATTTTAATATCGTGACTATCTTTGACACCATCTGATGTTCGGTTGTCATTTAGATTTCAAAGGAGACAATTTTCTATTATGATTTCTTATGTAATGATCATCAATAAAAGTTGAGGTCGGTCGCTCACTCACGTTGGTCTCCTACTAAAAACCCAGTTTTCAGCCATGGGCAATGATATGTTGTTGTGTCAAGAGTTACCACGTGCAGGTCTCAAAATCTTCATTCAAAAAAAAAATGATTGTCCAAAGGATGGAGCGATTAATGTTGTCTACCAAGAAGTGCTCCATAATTTGTAATGTTTCACATGGTAACATAATCACATTACATATTACAACAAACTACATATATACCCTTTTAGTTCTTAATTGTCTAATGTATGATACTATGCATTTAACTTTATAACCAATTAAATTTTCATGTTTAACGGTGTTTATACTCATCCAAAAATTCACACACCGTGCAGCGCACGAGTGCAATACTAGTAATGTCTAATTCTAATATGGTAGTATAATGTTATCGCAAAATGATTGTTACTGTGAAATCATATTGTCATATTTCAGTCATAAATGAGATTTATATGTCAATATAGATAGTATTAAACTATTAATGTCATACTCCGTAATTGACAATAATTGCTCTTATATATGCAGAAAACACTCCTATGGTAAAATTTATATTATTTTTCCTCCCGTTTGGGACAACTTCTCTAAGGGCATCCCATCCATGAGATTATTTGAAGTTTAATTGGATGATGTGTAAGATTGTTTTACATATCATCATTGTGAGTAAGAGATTATTTAGAGAGATTATTGAAAAAGATAGAAAATCCAGTATCAACATTTGAATCTCGGATTATTTTAGATTGCAGTTAAAATGCATTTAATGCATGATTTATAATATCTAATTATTTGAGTATCATGGTTGATGAAGAAATTTAATTAAGACTTGAGATTATTTGAGATTTATTGAATAAATGTGATGTGACAATGACGTGTAATCGAAAAATCATTTATTTTAAGATCATGAATGGAGATGCTCTAAATACAACGTTTGAAAAAAAAAACTACAATAATTATCTGATCTCAAATATGTTAAATTATGTCCTATTTTAAAAATTTCTCATGTATATGCACCATCAACTATGAGGGGAATGAAATTATTGTTCAATCTATATATACATGGATAGCCTGATCTTCTCATCAACGTAACAACCAATCTAATTAATTAGTACGTACAACAACAGTGATTACATATAAATATATACATTATGCTTGCAATTTATATGTAGAGACTACGATGAAACAAAGGACACATCTCTTCTTTTCTTAGGGTTTGCGGCCGCATCTGGATTTCCTTTTTTCATCATGGCTGCAAACTCGTCGTAATTGATCCGACCATCCTGACATTAATAAAAAAAAGACTGTATTAAAATATGTTACGAGTAAGGATATATTAATATTTTGTTCCGTTTTAAGACATTTTTGTTAATCGGAAAGGTCATATATTATTCATCATTTGCAATGGAGCCAAAGATTCATTATTTTTTAGCTTGAGATTATGATGGAATAAAGCAAAATGGCTCAGTAAACTGTCTGCGCTTCTTTGTTATGAAGCAGCGGACGGTCCATGCAATTTTGGACGGGAATTTCACTATGGGTCATCCGGAAACGAACTCTCTGTGCTTTAGTACAGGGGCAAGACTGCGTACATCCGACCCCCTTACCCCACCATAGGTGGGAGCCTTGCAGCATTTTAAAACAGAATCTTTATTAAAAGAGGCTAAAACTCGAATAGAATGTAGCAAAGGACCGCAGAGTGACAGAAACAGAAACTTTGTTACAAGGTTTGCTACTTACATTATCACCATCAACCTCAGAGATGATTTCTTTTATGTCCTTCCCGTCATTCATGCCAAAGTCTCTTAGAGCTTGCTCAAGCTCCTCTATTGTAATGTAGCTGGAAAATAACAGTACAAAGAAAAGGAAATGATTGATGATTATCCGTATGTTTTGATTTTGTGTACAAAAATATTATCATTGCATAATAAAAGTATTGATTAACCGAATATGAAACTTACAAGTTACAATATGGTGTAAGTTTTGTAACATTTAATGTGACAACATACCCATAGCACGAAACATACATTATTATATGTGTATGTCACAATTCCATGTTTTTATTTTACTGAATAATATATAGAGAAAATTATTTTCAATATTACTAAAAGACATGTGTTTTTTCCTAAATATAATGGTGCACGATACCATGTACTTCTCTTGAGAGTCACTATAATTAATGAATTATGTCTTTTTAAATCATGTGTGCCCAATGTCTTAGATGATATTTATAATCATTTGCACATCCTTAATCATATACTATCGTATAGTTTATATACTAGGAAAACACACATACGGATTATACTCCCTCCATCCCTAAATGTTTGTCACACTTTCCCGAAACGGATGTCCCACAATCTTTGTCATACTTTTTCAACTTCCTTATTTGATAAACAAATCTATACCTGTCAAACAGTGCAAAACAGTGCCGCTACAGTGTGAAACAGTGTCGCTACAGTGTAAAGCCAAATTCATCTCCTTAAAACTTGTGAAGTCAAAATGTGACCAGCATTTAGGGACGGAGGGAGTATGTTTTAGTAATATTTAAGTATTTTCCCTTATTTATATTATGCGTGTAAGTGTGGATATATATTTTATGGGGTACATGATAAAAAAAGGTTTTTTATCAGTCCTTTTTTATAAAGAAATTGTCACTAATACAATTCTTTTTTAAGAAAGAAAGTGAAATAGGTTTAAGAAGCAAGTATATTTAACTTACCCACTATTGTCCTTGTCAAAGTACTGGAACGCGGTATAGAGGTGTTCTTCTCTGTCCATTCTGTTCATGTGCATTGTTGCGGTGATGAATTCTTCATAGTCTATTGTCCCATTTCCATCTGCATCAGCCTGCTCGATCGAGTTTTATATATTATTATTATTATTATATGAAATGAAGAATAAAAGTTAATTGCATAAGCACTTATTAATAAATAATAATAAGTTCTTAATTTCATGGACATAGAAGCTAGCTAGATATAAGCTAGATGCATACCGCTTCCATAAGTTGTTTGACTTCATATTCAGACAGTTTAGTCCCTTGCTTAGCTAGACCCTGCTTCAATTCCTCAAGGGTAATAGTGCCACTTCCATCAGTGTCCATGGATTTGAACATTTCCTTCAACCCCATGATTTCTTCCTCCGAAAGGCAACCAGCAATCACTCTCAGAGCAACTTTCTTGAACTTGTTCATTGCTCTAAATTGCTTCAATCTATCCAATACTGCATTGTCAAGTGGCGTGTCTGGTGCATCTCCGTCCTCCTTGATCCACGCATGATCTTCATTCATACAAACCAAGAACGATTATGAATTGAGTTAAACATTCCACACATATTATAGAAACTAATTATTTAATTAATGGTAATTAAGTCAGTAGATACACGTACTTAAGACTTCAAAAGCTGTTAGCCTCTGTTTGGGGTCAGGATTGAGCATTTTCTTGACGAGGTCCTTTGCCCCGGGTGAAATGGATGGCCATGGGTCGCTGGAGAAGTCAACGTGACCGCGCAATATGGCATTGAATATTCCGTTCTCAGATTCAGCCCAGAATGGAGGAACTCCGCAAAGAAGAATGTATAGCATCACACCTATGCTCCATATGTCAACTTCTGGTCCGTAGTTTCTCTTCAACACTTCTGGTGCTATGTAATATGCACTTCCCACTATATCTTTGAACACGTCACCTGAAATATATTCGATATGTCAATTCAAATTTCAATCAACGAAGTACTATATTAAGACATGAAGAACTTCTTCTATCACGATGGAGAATATTGTTTTGGAACATAATCTTTGGAAATTCATTATTCGTATTATTAATAAGGAATGTATATATTTGAAAAGGGGGCTAGAGCCTAGAGGATGGTTAGAATATAACAGCGATGGAACCTTGCTTATAGAAGACAGATAGGCCGAAATCAGTAGCTTTGAGAGGGGCATTTTCGTCTTTGCTGAGGAGGAGGAAGTTTTCGGGCTTGAGATCCCTGTGGATGACCCCCATGGAGTGGCAGGTGTGGACGATCTGGACGATGGTTCGAAGGAGGGACGCGGCGGCGCGTTCCGTGTAATGCCCCCGGGCGATGATCCGGTCGAAGAGCTCCCCGCCGGCGCACAGCTCCATGACCAGGTGCACCGAGTGCTTGTCCTCGTACGCGCCTTTGAGTTGTACGATGTTGGGCTGGCCGGTGAGGTGGTGCATGATCTGGACCTCCCGCCGCACGTCCTCTATGTCCTCCTTGTTCACCAGCTTCCTCTTCGCGATGGTCTTGCACGCGAACTGCTCCCCCGTCTGCTTCTCCGTGCACAGATGCGTCACCCCGAACTGCCCCCGCCCGAGCTCCTTCCCGATCGTGTACCCCGCCCGCACGTCGCTCATGGGCCGGCCGAGGACCGGCCCGATCGGGGTCGCCTTCGTCGACTGCCCCGGGGTCGAAGCGTGCGGGGGAGGCGTGGTCATTATTTTGTTCGCCCCCGGGGTCGCGTTGCTGCTGGCATCGCCTCCCCGGGAGGTGGTTCCCTCTCCGGAGCGTTCGGGCTCCGGGGCTTCGGAGGCTTCGCCGGAGCAACAGTTCCCCATTAATTTGTGGTGGTGCGATAACGGGCCGGCCGGGAGGATTCGATGAGCAGATTGGGTGGCGGTGGCCTTGGCGGCACGCTGCCGGAAGGAATGGGGGAGCTGATGAGAAAATTATTGAGGATGGATGGTCAAGGCCGGAGATCGGAGAGAGAATAGTGTTGGGGTATTGATGGGAGAGGGAAAAGAGGGAGGTGGTGAACTAGAGGTGGGGAGAAGCTAGTGGATGGAATGGCATCAACGCCTCACATGCATGCACTAATTTGCTTCTCCTTAATGGTTGACGATTTTCAAGCTCTCAGAATTTGTAGGAGAAGCATTAAAATTATGTTATTTCATGGAAGGAATAAATTATACATTCCCATCATAAGTTCTTAACTATATTTGTTTAATCATAATCTTATTATAACAATATACTCTGTATGTGTGCGTAGGGGTCATATTAATCTTCCACATATACCCTACGTATTTATTATATGAGACCTAGCCACGACACTTAATTCAAAAATCAAATTAATAATATTTTTAATTGGACTAAACTTTTCCGTGTAATCTGGAGTGCAATCAAGGGGAGTATATATGACACTCTTTTGTGAAATTTAACATTGTAGAACTTTGGTCTGATTTGATCATAATATTATCTCATCGATCTCATCTGATTTGATATGATCTGTTTAATATTGATCTAGTGTGATGTGCACTGGGGCTTAAATCAAACCAATTAAAAGTCTAGTACTTATATTTTATTACTCCATTTATTCCAAATTAATAATCCCAATCTTTTAGACACAATTTAAAAAGTAAGATAAAGTTACGACCGAGCTACACTTATGTAGTTACACATTTATTAGTATTATATAATAATATTACATACTACCTTTGTTCCGCTATGATTGTCCCATTTTACCTTATCGGTCTGTCCCATTAAAATTGTCTCATATCAAATTTGGTAAAGTTTGTGTGACTCTAAATCATTCTTACTTTATTCTTACTTTATCAATTCAATATCAACCAAATAAACCACTTTTTATTAATTTGCGTGTGACTCCCTCTTGTCACATTGTTAACGGGACGGAGGGAGCATTAATACTAATTAGTAAAATGCAGTTAATAATTTAAGAAAGAAATTAAAAACACAATAATATCATTTTCATTGATCCTTTTACTCTTCTTTAACAAAAATCGCTTGAGTAATGAGTTGTGTTGGTTTAAATCAAGAATCATGTAACGTTTTGAATTTTTATTATATTTTTCAATGTTTTACATTAATATGGGGTTTCCATATTACTTGGGAATTACCCATAAACCTAAAAAGGCCTACTAAAAAGTAAAAGGAAATGATACCATCTGCTTGGCATACCTATCTCAAAAATGAAATATGAAACTGTTTATTTTGAACGAAATGGGTATGTACTGTACTAGTTTTCCAGCATCTACGAGGTAATTTATATGAGTTTTATTTTGTTCACCCACTTCATGAAGAGTGAACATCACCTCCTCCTTCCAATACATGCCACTGGACATTACAATTATTCTTTTTCTTAAAATTAATCTAATTTTTTTATATATAATCTAATTTTTAACAAAAAATATATCAGATTTAATACTCCCTCCGTCCTATAAAATAAGTCTCATTTTTCTTTTTGGGCCGTCCCCAAAAATTGTTCTCATTTCCCGTTTTGGAAAGTTTTATGTGACTAACATCATTTACTTTTTTCTTACTCAATCACAACCATACATTTCCACTTTATTCACACATTCTTAAACTCCGATCCAAATTCAAGTGAGACTTGTTTTATGGGACGGATGTAGTAACTTTTTTAAGATCTTTCCAATGGTATACATATTGCATATAGGAAGTATAAAAAATGATTTTTTTTTCTTACATCTATTTTAAGTCAGTTTGTTTTTTAAAATTTTACATATACAATATTGTTATCGTTTGAAAAATTATAAAAATTAAAAATATTGATATATTTTTTGAAAAAATAATCCAAAAATGTAAAAGTTATGACAATTGCAAAATTTAAAAGCATTGGCATGCTATGCGGCAGTCCAATAAAGTCCAATAAAGAGGATGTTCACCCTCTTTTGAAGGTGAACAAAATTATTCTCAATTTATACGGTAGCTAGCTAGAGCATGTAAACCAGTTTTTTTTTTGTAATTAAATCCAAGTTAAAGGCCATGGCCTATCAGCCTATGCTGCTCCCCTTTCTCTTGTTCTCCTTTGTGCCGCCGTCTAGCTCTGCTGTTCCTTGTTTTACTTTTCTTTTTTTTTCTTTTTTCTTTTGTTTTATACGTACCTACGTTTCTAGGTTGGAGCCTTTTCGTCTTTCACTCGTTGTTTTCTTGCTTTATTCGTGGACCTTTTTCTTTAGTTTTTTTATTCAATTATGATAAAACGTACTCTCTCTTCTCTATACAAACTTTAATCACACAATTTTTAACATTCTTATTTTCACCTAATTCAAGGAGTGCAAAGTCCATTGGGACAAAGATAGTATAATATTTGGAATTTTATCAATTCAGGACCCGAAAGATAGATGAATTATCAATTTAGGACCTGAAAGATGAGATCTATCGGTATAGGACCCGAATGATAAAAAACTATCAATCTATGACCTGAAATTTCATAGGTTTTGATTTGTTTAATTTTTTATTAATTCCATTGCTAATTTTTAATAAACCTTTCTTCACAAAAGTTGATTAGTTTCACAAAATTAAACAATATTTAAAAAATTTAAGATAAAAAAATCAATAAAATTTCGGACAACTTAGGTCCTAAATTGATAATTTCCAATCATTCAAGTCCTAATTTGATAGTTTCCAATCATTCAAGTCCTAAATTGATAGTTTTTCATCATTCGGGTCCTATATCGATACATTTCATCTTTCAGGTCCCAGATTGATAATTCATCTATCTTTCGGGTCCTGGATTGATAAAATTCCTATAAAATATTAAAACAATGTGCGAGTTTTTTTTTCAATCAATCTTCTGACTTGCGTTTTTTAATTTGTCCATTATAATTTTTTTAGGTATTAATGTTTTATTTTTCTATTTTTTATTTTAAGATAAATAGTTATTAGTTCTTAAATATTGTGTGTTAATTACTAACATGAGTTTTGTGTTATACTAAAATGTGTATAGTGAAATCAATATGCACAAATGAGCATTTGGACGCATTAGAGAATTCAAATGAGCTTTTGATTTTTTCGATTCTCATTTTGTAAGTTATTTGTGTTTATCTCGTACTGGTTTATGCTCATTTCGCATAACAGTTAGATTATATACATGGGAGCAGAGATCACGATACTCAATTGCATGTTTTGATACTTAATAGAGGGGTTTGACGTACAATGAAAATGCGCGCCTTGATGCTAACAAAGAATATGCTTTTCATATCATTGTTCATTTGGTAAGTAATGTATGCTCATTTTAAAATGTCATATCAATGCATATTTCAAAAGTACAATATTACATTAGATTCAAAAATTGAAGTTCGTAGAAAATGATTATAGACATAATTTAATAAACTTTTATAAAAGAAAAAATAAGAAAAAGAAAGTTAATTAAAACATATGAAATAGAGATCGCGATGTTAATTGTTAGACTCCTAATGCTCAATATAATATAATTCATGTTCACTAGAGTTGCCATAACGTTTTAATATGAACACTATTATGTATGGACTATTCAAATGAGTTTTTTATTACTCGTATATACTAATATGAGTTTAATGTTTAACATAAATGTGAATTGATGTAACATTATATTATGAAACCAACAAAATAAATTTCAAGTCTTGAATAGCGTATCATGGAATATAAAGTTGTTGATGAATTTGTTACGATTCTTATAGATATATTTATGGATAATTTATTAAATAATTTAATCAAAATTTGTAAGTCAATTTGATACTGTACAAATTATGAATTATAAATATATAAAAAAGCAAAATAAAAGAACATGAACAGAAATCACGGGCCATGGGTTGTGGTGAAATACGAGTGCCTATACCGTACGACCGGTATACGGGGAGCATCGTATACCTGTACGGATTTATATTTTTTTTTCTTTTGTTTTTAAAAAATGGTAATAACTTTTTTATTTTTGATCCAATTTTTATAAAATTTATATCAACATTTTTTATTTTTCATGATCTTTCAAATGAGACCAATATTGCCTATGTAATTTTAACATATTAGCATTTGCGTGTAAAATATGTAACTTTACGTGTTAAAATATGTAACTCGCGTTCAGTCAGGCCAAATGCAACTCGTGTGTATAAATATGTATCTCTACGTGTAACAATATGTAACTTTACGTAAAAAAATATGTAACTTGCGTTCAGATAGGTCAAATGCAACTCGAGTGTCTAAATATGTAACTCGCGTGTATAAATATGTAACTTTACGTGTAAAAATATGTAACTTTACGTGTAAATATATGTAAGTCGCGTTCAGGCGTGTCAAATGCAACTCGTGTGTATATATATGTAACTCGCTTATAAAAAGATGTAACCTGCTTATAAAAAGATGTAACTTGCTTATAAAAAGATGTAACTTGCTTATAAAAAGATGTAACTCGCTCATAAAAAGATGTAACTCAATGTATTATCAAATGTAACTGAGGCCACTGATCCACTCCCAAACAGATTCGATCTTCTATTTCACAAACCTATCATCTCCCAAACAGATTCGATTTTCCTTCTAATCCAATACTCATTAATATGATAGTTCGATAATTTCTTAAAATTACATAAGCAATATTGGTCTCATTTGAAAGATCATGAAAAATAAAAAATGTTGATATAAATTTTATAAAAATCGGATCAAAAATAAAAAAGTTATTATCATTTTTTAACAACAAAAGCAAAAAAAAGGGGGGAGGGAGGGGGACAAGCTGCGTCGTTTTGCAACCGGGCGCACCATCCTCATGGTGCGCCGGTTGCACGGTATAATTTGCCGTGAAATACGTAGGCTACGTATGTAGCAGGCACACGATTGACATGGGATTAAACAAAGGCTGATTAAATTGGACAGAAAGTTGGGCAAAATCCCAAAAATACGTGGTTGTACGGTTCCCACTCGTAAAGCAGGGTGTATCGTATACGATGTTCCTAAAGGTTGAATACCCAACC